AGGAGGTTGTTGAAATAAACTTGTAGCTGAGTTTGAGACCTGTCTGTTTTTTCTGTTACTTCTGCTCTTCTAAAAAAAAAACAGTCTCAGGGTAAACGACGAAATGGTTAAATTGTTTACATTCGTTCCCAAACTGCAATGACGCCTGACTTATACAGTTGCCAGACGTTTTTATACGAATAGTTTCTTGGACTACACGTTTCATATCATTGTGTTCTTTGTGAATTACTTCCGTTTCAGACCAGTTGGCTTTACAATTATTACACTCTAGAAGGTGCCTGGCTAACTCGGAATTGGACGCGTTGCACATTTTTTATCACTATCACATTGTTTATCACACTTCCGTTCAATTGCGAGCAATGAAAATTGAATACTAAGCTTCTAGAGAATGATAGTTTCACAAAAAGGTAAAAAAAAAACACATAGGAAAGTCAGAAAACATTGGAGATAACATGATGTGCCAGGCAGGGGATCGTTTAAACAAATAGCCGAGTTAAATGGTATACAAAGATCCAGGAAGCCTGAGCACGTAGAAATAATAGAACAACTGCGGAAAACTCTCAAAACTTTTGAAATTAAAGAATGCAAGACCTCCGGTTTATTTATAGACAACATAAATAATAAAAAGAACAAACTAGAGGTTCTAGACACAGATAACGGTCACGCGTGGAGAGAGTTCTTGCGGGCGAGAGCCAAACAAACATGCGGTCGCGACGGAAAAAGAATACGCACGTACTACAAAAGATTTCTGAGGTTGATTATCAGGGAATTGTGACTGGCGACCTTGAGATAGTCAAGCGATAATCGAGTGTTGAATGTTTTATTTGTTTACTGCATAATAGGGTTCGAGACGAAGAAGGGTTTGAAGAAAACTTCTTGTCGCTCTTGCGTAAAATAAGTAGTGAAGTAAAATAACGCTTAGAAGATCAGAAAAGTTTATCAGAAATTGAAAAAAATATATATATATTGAGGACTTACCAATTTGAAAGACCCCCGTACCCGATGGTTTATGTTCAGCTTTCTACAAGACATTTAAAAATGACATAGCTAATGTGCTAATGTTCTGTTTCGCCTGTACCACGAGTGTTCTGATAACATAACTTTTCCGCTTTCTTTTTTTTTTTTTTTTTTTTTGTTTACGCACTCAGTTCTAATTAAAAAGGGATGATGCAATAAAACTTCGCAACGTGGCAAATTACAGCTTTAGCTATTCTGGACCATAAAGCTTTAATGAAGATTCTTGCTAACTTGAACACGAAAGAATAAAACGCATAGGGACGGACACACACAGACAGGACAGTTCTTTCATGCCCTGTATGTGTGTGTCCGTCCCAATGTGTTTTATTCTTTCGTGTTTCAAGTCATTTGTGCCAACCTGCTCTGTGTTTATATTCTTGCTAAACGAATGCAAAATGTAATTAAAACTGTGGTGGGAGACCACCAAAGATGTATTCAAGGGCGCACGGTACTGAGTAGTATTCACGTAGCTCGAGGTGTGCTTAAAGATATGCGACACTGATTTCCGCAAGGTTGAAATGCTACAAATAGATCATTAAGGTGAGCCAAAGGAATCCATGGCAGTTTGAAAGGACACATAAATCAGTTTCTAAACGTATCAAACTAAGATTTTGCGCAGAGATTGCTGAAGAACGTGCATTTCGTGTATAGAAATTTCACTGAACAAACGTACCCGAGTAAACAGTTTCAAAAATATTATAATCCCTACCCACGGCACCGTGTGCTAACCAAAAGCGTCTGTTTGACGGAACAGCCGATAGATCTCGGGCAGCGCTCTCCGCGTCTACAGGTAGTGAAGGCTCCGAGTAGAGAATTTTTCAGCGTCAGCTTCGGCAATGACACCACTGGTGTTGGCGGATTGCTTTGGATGTTTACATACTCGTTGAGGAGCGCTCACCTAGCATAGAATTGTAGAGGAGCCGGGAGGTCGCTGCCGAAACTCCGCCCGAAAATGTCTGTGGACATCGTTTGTCCTCTGTCACTGCCCGTCTCAGAGAGCAGCCTTCATTCGCTCGTGGGGAGCTATAAGAGCACCATAACGATGACTTACTCCCAAAAACAGCACGAATAAATTTGCAGACACGAAACGAGACGCTGTAACAAGCAGAGAGTGCAAAGCAGGCAACGACACCTAAGCGAAAGTAATAGTCGAAAAATACGAGACACATCGGTTTGATCTTTTTCGTTTTTTATGCATTTTTAACGTCTTATTTGTAGAATAAAATTATCATGCACTGACGATTCGAACCGGAAAAGAGCGCATCGCTTCTCGCTCAGAAACGTCGTCTGCTATTACCGACGTTGAACGTCGCGCCCATCGGGCCGCCAATGATGATGATGAGGAACAGGAGGAGAAGGATGGTGATGTTGATGATTGTGAGGAGGAGGTGGAGAATTCTGAAGCTGTTTTCTTTGAATCGGGCGGTTTAAAATGCGGCAAAACATAACCAAAAAGAAAAAGGAACTAAAGCTGCGATTTTAATTACCGCCATCTGTCGGCTGTTGCGCCCTTCAAACGCGTTTCTTTTTTTTTTTTTTTTAGCAGACGGACGTATAGGTAGTTGCTTCAAGTTTCTGATTTCGAACTTTTTACTCAGGCAAGTTTATTCCGTGAAATTTGTATAACCTTAATGCACGTTCATGGGCCGCCCCTGTACGAAATTTTAGCTCGGTACGTACAGAAACCGATTTATTCGGTCCCTTCATACAACCACCCATCCATTTGCTTCACACTAAAAAAAAAATCGATCGGGTTTCACATGATGTTTGATTTCGAACTTTAGACCCCACTGGTATGAGTAAAATGTCTTTCAAGGGGATAAAAAGGGCATAAAAAAACTGTATGACAGGACGAATAATTAACAAGCTTCTAAGTTGTAACCAAGCGTATCCCCGTGTCATCATCGGTTCAACAAAGAGCGTTTGAAGGCCGCGACTGAGAATATGAGCGTCAAAGCCACGAAGGGGATAGGTCAGTGTATTTTTATTTTTGCGAGGGTCCCGGTGTGTAATATATATTTGATTACAAAAATGTTGGTACTTGTTAAAAGTTTTGGACTCTTCCCATAGTTGTTTGCTCCATATACATCGAGTATTTTGAGTATTCTAATAGAAGTGTGCATGGGGAAGGACAAGGCGCGATAATCTTTTTCGTCGCGTGAAGTCCGATGGTCTTAGTCGGTCCCACTTGTTTACAAAACAGCTAGTCCTACTTTTCTTTTACGAGATTTTGTTGACTTTTTTTTAGAAACTGTAATTTAATTACGACTATATAGATTTGAAGGTGAACATTTAAGAGAAGTCTCTCTGGTTGGGGAGCAACAATAATAATAAATAAAACATACATCAACCAAAATCCTCGCATAAAGGCTATATGAAGGCTATATACAGACTATATAGATTTATCCTAGGTTTACCGTTTTTCCGTGCGGCGCGCACGATGGCTACGTCACCGGTTTCCTAATTTAGGCTGTTTCTTCTCTTTTCTAAGAGTTTCTAAGCGTTCGCTTCTCGATTGAGTACATGTGTTTGGTCGCACGCCGAAGCATTTGACGCGACATATTGTTGACACTTCATGTCCCCTGTCCCCTGCACCAAGCTTTGTACCCCGACGACTGGGACCAAGATGTGCTTAGTCGACTCAAAGAGTGTCGATTTGAGTTCCGACGCAAACCTTCTGTTTTAAACAGCATTCTGATACCCTGCCTGTTAAATCATGTTTGGCTCAGAGGAGGATATTTGTTCCGTGGGGTGAGGACTGCCTTCTGTGTGTAAACTTAAAGCCGGAAACTGTGGAGCACGTGTTCCTTGGTTGCTGGGATAAGATTCCGTTTTGGGACGTGCTCCAGTGTACTCTAAAAAAAAAGCCCCCCCTGCTCACGACGCGTGGGATCCGGTACCTATCAGTAGATTCTTTTCCGTATGACCTGGTCCTGCTGTTCTGTCTGCATGCCATCTGGAGTAGCAAGATGGCGGTACGTCACGCACACTTATACATTCGCTCAGTACGCTGCTACTTCATTGAAATTCCACGTATGCCAACAGCTGTGTACCGGAAACTCTATCCTAAAGCGGAATAGCCGACGGCATTAGAGAAGCTGCCAGAAATTAAAGAATTATCAACAGCCAAAAAATCAGTAGAAAGTAATATAAGCCTCCATAACAAAATTCAAGTGAGCCAGTTCTTTGTACAGTGTTGGGATTGAGTGCATTTATCTGTGTTGGTAAAACGTTGGCAATAAGTAAAAAAAAAGAAGAAAAAAAAGCTGCGGCGTAGTTTTTTTTTTTTTTTTTTTTTTAAGATTGTGCAACATTGATTACGGACGCCCTGCATCTCAAACTATAACATCAACAATTACAATTACTACTGCATTAACAACTACAACTACAACGGACGTCATTTCCAGTGGTGGGAAGAGCCGATAACAGCTATCGCTGTAAAACATACTCATTACTAGGGAAGTCACTACTAGTAAAGCCATAATGTTAATCGACCACACCGGTGGCCATGGTGATAAGGAAGGCTGTAGCTGTAGTCATGGACGATTTAAGAAACGCGAGGCGTGGCCTTATATATTTATGGTTCTTGCTTTGCTACTTGAAAACAGAAAAAAAGAGAATAATTGGCTCAGTTAATTGCATTAAGAGAACACTGCCAAGTTATCACCAGCTAATCCTAATAAAAAAAAACTCTTTCGCTAGATCTTTACACGGAAATATAATTGTAGTTCAAGCATCCGCGATGGTGTCTTTACCTAATCAAACTAGATTTATGTTCACGATTACAACAACTGAATCTCTCAGTGATCTTCAAAATCAACTTACAAAACCGCATCGTCCAATCAGGTTATCAGAATGAAATGCATAAATTTAATGTGTGTATTTGTGTGCTTTTTTGTGTGTGTTTTTTTTTTATTTCAGTGTTTTTTTTTCAGAAGAAGACCTTTTTATTTCTTTAAGATAATGTCGGAGAACTCAGATGTGAGCGCTACTCAAGCATCTCAACCAGTTCCGATGTACGTGCCGGAACTTTACCTCAACGTCAACACGATTCAACGAACACCAAACCTCCTGGCCCTCGAACTGGCCCAAGGGTCCTTCCGAAAGTCTCCCACGCCAGACCAACAATTCGTGGACCTGGGATGCGGAACGGGCGACTTCACTCGCCAGGAACTCTTGCCACGGTGCCAACCCTGCCGCAGGATCGTGGCCACCGACGTCTCCCAAGAAATGGTGCGGTTTGCCGAGCGCAGCTTCTCTCATCCTCAGATCGAATACGACGTGTACGACTTCAGAGACGATGCCTCGAAGATCGTGAGGAAGTACGGCAGGTTCGATCGCGCCTATTCTTTCTTCGCCCTGCACTACGCCGAGGACCTGGTCTCGGCTTTGAGAAACGTTGCCGACTTGATGACCGACGACGGGGAATGCCTGCTCGTTTTTGCGGCTCGTATTCCAGGCTATGCCGTATGGAGGAAAGTCGTGCAGATGGATCGTTGGAAATCGTACGCAGAGGTGGGTCCCACTTGCTTCGAATATTTTTTTTCCCTCGTTTTTGTATCTGCGTGTACAAAATATAGAACACCGCGTCTTTTTAAAGAATAGAATGTTTTTTACCGGAATCTTTTACAGAATTTTGTTGGTTCACCTGTCCGTCCGTCCATCCGTCGCCGCATTTTTTCGCTAAACATAGCGGGAACTTTGACGTCACGTGACGCGGTGAGACGTAACGCCGTCCCGTGACACTAACGATCGACTCCGTGACGTTGACTTCCCGGGTAAAATTAGCGGGGAAGTTACGTCTCGTGGACGTCAGGTTACGTGACACCGTGACCGTACGGTGTTAACTGACGTCACCACACAATACGAAAAAGTCGCGCGACGTCAATTTCTCCGCTAAATTCAGCGCACGCGCGGTGCCCTCACCCGGTGTGGACAAGCAAGCTCGGGCTAGCTCGGGCATGTTTGTAAGCAGTCTGCTGGTGTGTAGGACTTCAAAGATTGCACAGTTGCAGAAAATCTTGTTTTTTTTTTTTGTTTTTTTTTTTTCTGCAGATCTGCGAGCGCTTTATTCCAAAGAGCCAGGACTTCAAGGACAAAGAGGCGTGCGTGTCTTACATGCTTGCCACACTCGAGAGCGCCAACCTCAAGGCTAGAATCTGCGAAGTCGTCACCGAGGTTCGCAGCGCCACTAACTTGGAGCGCCTTTTGGGTTAGTACCTTCGATTCGTCGAGCGCGACATTAGAGAGCTTTAGTATATCGTTCCCCAACAACTCCGGTAACAACACCTTATACTCCGCCAACGCTTTTGAGCGTGCACTGTATTGTCATCGGGTATCGTTATTGGAGGCGTCGGAACGATCTAGTAAAACTCCCTATTTTACTCTTCACCGCCGATGTTACTGTTACTGTCACTATTAACACTACTATTACTACTACTAATCATCATCATCATCATTATTATGAACATCATATTTATTCAACCATGGAGGGTTGCCGCACCACAGAAATGCCGTTAGCTCGTACCTGAGGCCGCTTCTACAAAACATGCCTCTTCTAAACTTAAAAAAAGAAAAACAGGAGGTGGTATTTCTTGTCCCTGAAGGAAGCGCTGCACCACACTTTCGGGTCATCCTGCTCTAGTGGCGGGCACTCGTCACGTCCTTGGGCAGTGAGCGCCACAGTTCTCATTAGAAAAGAGTTCCTGTGCCGCTCTGTACGCCAGAATAGTGGCCGTACACAACCGGCCGGAAACTGGTGTGGCGAAGATGCTGTACTAGCGGAAGCTCGGGGTGCCTCGGAAGGAAGCAGTTTGCTAGGAGTCGGAGCGATGCCACGTGCTAGATTGGTTCCTAAATTAGCAATATGGCAAAACAAGTTGCACCCGCTTTAGTACAAAGTTTTTCGATAAATTTGATTGTAATTGTAACGTCGTGTGGCCGATGGTTTTTTTTTTTTTTTTTTTCTCCGAAATTTTGATTTAAAGTTAAGGAGTAGTGAACACTGAAAAAATTCGCGAATTTATCAAAAGATGAGGTCCACCAGCGCCTATTGCTGGTCTGGTATGTTGTGAAACGCTAGAATGTTGTGCGTACGCAACCTGTGCCGGGCTTTAGTGTGCCTGGAATTCAGAATGCTTTCCAACTGCTCAGTCGATGTAACTTGGTTAACGAGCCGTGTGTGCGATCCAAACTGGGGGGGGGGGGGGGGGGGGGGGGGAGGGCGCGAACGCGTCGATCGTCTGCGTGTGACTCCGACCTTTTTCTAAGCCTCTCCGCCCGTTACCTTCCTCTCCACACGCTGACTCGCGCATGAGCACTAGCGACCTACCTACACAGAAGGCCTCCGCCATTAAATTGCAAGCGCTCTTAACGGTTTGAGTTGCTCTTTCTCTTAAATCTAGGCTCTCTAGAGTTAAAAATAAAAGCTAATTCCTCGCCATTTTTAACGCAAAATGTGTTCCATGGGTCGTTGGTTTGGTTTCTATGGGGAAACCGTCATGAACGACAGTCATGAACGAGTGTTATGCAGCAGTGTCACGAGCGGGCGACACGCTGGGGGAGTGACACAGTTCAGTTTCCCCGCTAAATTTGCGGGGAACTTGACGTCATGACTTGACGTCACGTGGCCTGTACGCCAGTCATGCTTCCCCGCTAAATTTAGAGAAAAAAATTGACTTCATGTGACGTTATGTCCCGCGACCAATAAAAAAAATCCTGTTTCCTCCACTAAATTTAATGGGGAAATTGGCGCCACGTGACTTAAACACCAATCCAGTTTTTCTGCTAAATTTAGAATCGACGTCACGTGAGTTGATGTCACACGTCCTATGATATAATTCAATTTCTCCACTACATTTAGCAAAAGAAAATGAGCGTTTGCGCGTGTGTCTTCTTTTTTCAGAAGTGAACATTGCTTTGAATCCAGTTCTTCCACTGGTACCGGAGGAGTCAAGATCGGAATTCAAGGCGGATCTAGAAGAAGTAGTTGGAAAGTTTTGGACCGAGAAAGACCCGCAGGACCCGCAATATCACGTAGACACGTTTGTAATTCATGCGGGTAAAATTTGACGCAGAGTTGTCTCGTCGCAATTAAAACACAGTAGTCTGACTACTGCATACATAGGTAATTGTTTTTAAAAAATTTAGTTACGGGATTTGTATTTGCGTAAAGTTATAGCAGTTGGTCCGGTCGACATTTTGCTTTCGTTTATACTTTTATGTCCCACCCGAATATGTCGCTTCCGAATAGATCGATCTCATCAACCCGTTTGGCTACGCCAGCGATGTTGCAATGTACCGAGAGAAATATACACCCTTCCAACGTTTTCAACATCACAGCCCAGCACGGGCATGATCATAGCTTCGGAAAGCGAGCGAAACACGAGCCATACGCACAAGTTCTGAAAATGGCACCGACCACAAAACCGTTTTTTTTTTTTTTTTTATGGTTTATATTTGGCGTCAACTACTTTGTGCTACGTTGTCGAGGCTAGCTCAGCCTCGGCAGTGCTCCAACGCTGTCAGAGCTACTTTCCCGAGCACGTGTAAATGATGTACAAGACGAAGCCACGGGCTCTCGGAGCAGGGCGGGACTACTGCGCCTGTGAAAGCTACGCTAACCTTGACAACGTGGCACAGAGCAGCTGACGACGAGTATATCCTATCGTCTGGTGTGCTGCTGCTTAGCTCATGCGAACTAAAGTTGCAGCAGCGTCTCGCATGCGCCGAACGCTAGGTGATATTTGTCTATGTGCATAACAAATAAAAGGTATTGTTTTTTTTTATTTGATTCGGCTTTAGACGTTTGCACCAGTATTCAGCCCTACTCGATTCAAGTTGAAATGTAACTACTTTCAGACATCTTAAAATGTGGATTTCGTTGCCAGATAAATTTTTTTTTTTTTTTTTTTAAGGAGGGGATGGGGGGGGGGGGGGGCGGGGGGGGGGGGGGGGTTGCGTCAAACCAAGTCCTAGTTAGGGATTTCAGTAATAACTCTCCGGGTAGCCGTTTAATATAGCAGTATTTTTTTACAGCGAAGCCGTTTATATGGCTAGGGTTCTGTGAATTTTTCGTGTGCGTCACCAAAAACTCTACGCTCGCACCGCCGCACGCGCACGACTTCCCCGTATAAAGGATTCGAAGTCAATAACCAAAATAATGCGCTGACGAACGCGCGTGCAAGAAGCCAATTGTTTTCGGTCTTTGCTCTAGAACAGTGAGTGCTGCGGACACCAGCACGTGCGGCGGGTGGAACACCATTCCCTGCATTCTCCTTGATGCTTGGGTAATTTAGCAATATGTCTATTAAGTAGATAAGTTATCAATAGGCACCATTTTCAAGATCAGTAGACTCTCAGGTCGGTAACGAAGGTTTCTCAAAGATTAGCTGCTGTGCGACCCGCGTCGGCCTTGTCTACGCTCGCACCGCCCTCTTTTTGTCGTCGTTCCAAGCCCCCGCTTGCGTGCCTAGTTTCCTTCCGCTCTCCCGGGGTGGGGTCTCGTCGCGCGTGCCTACTTTCCGCCGGGCGGCGGTCCCGTCCCGCGTGTCTAGTTTTCGCCGGCTCCTCGAGGCTTGTCTGTTTCGTGTTCTAAACAACTTCGCTGGTCATCCACCTCCACAAAGTGGAATGACCCATGATTATTTTATTTTTTCCATGCGTAGGGCATTTCTTTCCGTTTTATTATATTCATCAATGTTGCTCCTAAAGAGGCGCTTCCCCGCAGCAAGGCTCTTATTGCGGCAAAGCATCTCTCCGGGGCCGTTTCATTAGAACTTTCGCCGTACTAGCAGTGTCCTGCAGTGAACGTCCCCAGAGGATGCGTTGAGAGCCATTACCAGCGATGTTAGCAGATACTTTAGAACATCTCTGGGATTACACTCTTGTAGTTACTGCGTACAAGGTTTCGTTATACTTTAGTAAATAATGTTCTCAATGGAATGGCACAAGGAACACAAATGTATTGTCTTATTTCGTTTTCATCGTTCAGTTCATTCTAAGCAAATTCAGCTTGGCGAAGTACAGTTCTGTTGCAACCGCGCCATTAAACCCTAGATTGGAGTCGTCACACGATGAGAACTGAGGATCGTGTTTTGAGAGCCCGTTCGCACTCGAGTCGCACACCCAACTCACTCTGTTGAATATTTAATACTGAAAAGCGGCTGGGGCGTGGGATCATCGTCGGGACCAAAAGGAAACTGAGGGTTGATTAAACGGAAGTTCATCTTTCCAGCGTGTGGTATTAATTTTACCCGGCCTTTATGAGCGTTGATCTGTCAATGGCAATCAGTTCATCGAACGACGTTTATGCCGACATTTCGTTTCATCGAAAGGCTCCCCGCTTTCGTTTTATCGACGCGCCTTGCGACGTTTCGTCGAACAGAACCTTATTTTCACTACAAACTTTCTTCGTCTCGCCTGGTTCACGAGGAAAGGGTGGAACGCAACCCGAGGCATAGATAAACAAGCCCAAGCCTAATTCTATTAAAAAAAAAAAGTTGCTGACGAAACATTGCATTACCATGTGTTCATGAAACGCATTGTCAAAGAAACGTGTGTCCACGAAAAGTTGGTACTGAGAGTTGCGTAGTTGAAACTTAACCCTGGCATTAAAAAAAAAAAAAGCTTACTTTAGGCATTAGAAAAGGTCATTCCTGCTAGCATGCGCTTTTCTAAGATTTTTTTGCTTCGTTTCAGCTTACGTCCAGAAGCAGTCGAAGCTACAAGCGCAAGCATGTGGCCCTGAACAGTGCTTGCACTGCACGAGCGCACGTGCTTGGCAGGGAGAGCCCGGAGCTCGCTCTTGTAGCTTCTGCTACGCTCACACTTTTTTTTAACAGTCTGGGTGGGACACGCGTGTCGAGAATTGGAGGATCGGTGGCCGAGTGGGCTGTCGCACACCATCTCGGACCATGTGGAGCGAAAGCTCGCACTGCAGAACCCAGGAATCCTGGGTTCAATCTCCGCCCCTGCGCGTTTCGATCTGGATGAGCATCGCAGCGGCGTGCGGTCATGTATCACTACTGCGTCGTGCACGATAAAGACCCCAGGCTAGCGCCTGTACTGCATTGGCTAAATTTCTTATATAGAGCTGAGAGACAAGTCGCTCGTTGAGGCAGACTAAGTTCTAGGCTGTATAAAAATACACACACCCCAATTATTTTTTTTTTTTTTTGCGTGTAAAAACTTTTTCTACTCGAAAAGAAAAACATTTTAGAGCTATATTGACGGTGCGACACACGATTTAGTCGGTGATCACCTCCTTTCCACTTGGTTTCTCTCTCGGAATTTCGGGCGCGTGGAGGCGAGGTGGATCGGCTTCGCCTTCACGTTGAGGCGGAGAGAGTGTTAGGCCATCTCGTGGAGCTGAAAAGAGTGTATGACCATTCTGTAACGTCATGGACTTTGCGCGCAGAATTTGAAATAAATCTCGCGCCGTCAATATTGATCTATTTTTTTTTTCGCATAAACTTTATTTTTTCACACCAGTGCCCCAACCAGAATGTTTAAAAAAAAACTTTTTTTTTTCTTTTCAGGAGCCCTTTAAAGAAAAACGGAGTCTAGCTTAACTTGCGGCGTTCACAGCAAACATGCAGTGAACGCGCGATGGCGAAGCAGTCCTGCGCGTACCGTCAGTGGCCGAGATCTGGGCCCGTTTGCTCGAAGCACTAACCGCGGCTAAAGTTAGCCGCAGTACCTAGGAGAGGGATTTTGAGATCACGTGACTGGCTCGGGAGGGATGCGGGGAAACATGGCGGTGCCCCAGTGAGTGAGCGCCGCTCGCTTCGGAACTAATATGTCGTTGTGGTTGCAATATCGGGCGCGTTAGTCAGCAACGAATGGTGCAGGAGGCTTTTGCGTTGCCTTACCTCGCTTAAACCACGAAGCATGGGCAATGACATCGCCGCAATTTTTAGATAGTGTTTCGATTCTGGGCACTCCTAGGCCTAAATTAACGCGATAATTGTCGGCATATCAACGTCTTTGGAAAGCGGATTGTTGATAGCACACAAAAGCAGACGGCGTCCCAACAGACCTTTTTTTCTAAATTATCCAAGCACCGAGGTGCATGCTACGACTGTAGTTGCACGCGTCGCACGTGCTGGCGTCTGCAGTAGTAACCGTTCTAAAGCAAAAAGTATGAAACAAATTTTGCCTTGCACGCGCGTTCGTTAAAGCCTTATTATGATTTTTTACTTCAAATGTTTTATAAGAGGAAGGCCAGCGCGCGTGGACCGTAGAATAACACTTCCAGCGTTCTCCTCGCGATGATTGGATAATTTAGAAAAAAGTCTGTCGGGACGCTGTCTGCTTTTGTGTGCTATCAACAATCCGCTTTCCAAAGACGTTGCCATGCCGACAATTGTCGCGTTCATTTAGGCTTAGGAATGCCCGGAATCAAAAGTCTATAAAAAAAAAATGCGGCGATGCCATTGCCCATGCTTTGCGGTTTAAGTAGGGTAAGGCAACGCGAAAGCCTCCTACACCGTTGATTGCTGACTAACGCGCCCGATATCGCAGTTACAACGGCATATTAGTTCCAAAGCGAGCGGCGCTCACTCACTGGGGCACCGCCATGTTTCCCCGCATCCCTACCGAGCCAGTCACGTGATCTCAAAATCCCCCTCCTAGGTACTGCGGCTAACTTTAGCCGCGGTTAGCGCTTCGAGCAAACGGGCCCAGGTGGGAAGAAAAGCACATGTGCGCATTTGGCGGGTAGGCAGACCAGTTAAATGCGCGCCATATACGCTCCAGCAGGTGCGCACACTTGCACGCAGTATACTATTCTAATATATATATATATATATATATATATATATATATATATATATATATATATATATATATATATATATATATATATATATATATATATATATATATATATATATAACAACGGGCATGGTGGCGGGAGGCCGAAGGCGTGGGTATATAACTGAAAAAAAAGAAGAAAACCCTTCGTGAAAACAGCGACAACGGGCGGTTCATTCTTCGACGATTCGGCCGGAGTCCGGCCGGAGTCAGTCTGGCCTTCCTGAAGAAGGCCGGACTCCGGCCGAAACGTCAAAGAATAAACCGTTCGTTGTCGCTGTTTTCATGAAGGGTTTTCTTTTCTTATCAGTTATATATAT